TTTTTGATGATATGATATAAAAAGTATAGATTTACTGAATAAACAAAAATAAAAATAACTAAACAAAACACTTACCGTACCACCAAAAGAAAACACGAAAACAAAATAAATTAAAATTCTAATAGAAACATAAAAATATTAATCAATTTATTTTAAGAAATAAAACCAAATAGGTATTATTAGCATAAACAAGCCCAAGATAATCAAAAAGCAGTATACCTCATTAATTTTTTTTTTTAATAAACAAAACAATACCCTTAATTAAACTCTAACGCTATCATAGATACCTCATTCGAAATATGATAACCAATCAAAAGTGTAAGAAAATGAGTAAACCGCGAAACCCAAAATCATAACAATAATAGAATAATATATGATAGCGAAAAAGAACGTTGCACAAAAACCTTAAAAATGTAAGCAACATATATGTAAACATTAAATGAAGGATATAAAAGTATTCTCTGAATAATAATAAAGATGAAAATTGTGCATGTGAAAATTAAAACAAAGCTGGGTAATGAATGCAAGATAATATAACATGAAAATTTCTGTAAACAGTAGTAATATGAAAATCAGGAGATAAGTAATATATTAATAAATATAGCAATAAGACTAAATAAATATTGTAATAAAACCAGATAATTTTAAGCCAAATGAGTGGTTAAAAAATTAGTTGTGGGTAATATAACAATGATATAAATCGTGATATAAAAACTATGTAGAAAGCGGGAAAAAAATTGTTAAAAAGTGAAGTTTTCTCTACGGTCCGAAAAATGATGTAAGAATAATGTAAGAATTCTCAAAAATAACTGTTTTTCCAAGTTTAATAAAAATTTAAAATCTTACAAATTTTTTTGACTTTTGGTATGCTTTTCAACTGAAATTTTGCTTTTTACCAAGTTTATAAAAAGTACCGAAACCAAAATTTCGGTATCGGTTCAAATAGATATTTCGAATGAAACCAATTCCAAAACAGAATTTCGGTTAATTGCTAATATATATATATATATATATATATATATATATATATATATATATATATATATATATATATATATATATATATATGAATATATATATATATATATATATATATATATATATATATATATATATATATATATATATATATATATATATATATATATATATATATATATATATATATATACTACTCCTACTACTACTACTACTACTACTACTACTACTACTACTACTACTACTACTAATACTAATACTACTACTACTACTACTACTACTACTACTATTACTACTACTATGTTTATATATGTATGTATATAAATAACATAAGTTATATATAATGTATATATGTATATATATTATATATATATTAAATATTTAAATGAAAAAAATACGACTTTTTTATGGGACTTCAAGTTTCATGCCATTCGGCAATCATTCAGCCATATATTTGAAATCATTAAAATAAAAACCGTTATAAAAAATACAAAATTGCGTTGCAACGAGATCAAAAGTCAGTTTTGACGCCGAACCTAAATTTATTTAACCGGTGTCGAAATTCGATAGCAAAAACTTTTTTCTGTGCCTACATGCTGAAACCAATTCACTTTTCTTATTTAACAAAGGTTCTTTATTGTATGTTGAAATAAAATATTTCTCATTTATGCAAAGATTACACCTTTTTGAGGATGGGTTATAGGGTTGACATTTTTTAACAATACTCCACTTGATTATTGGTTTTATGCCTGCTCCCTTAAGTTTCTAGATCTCTTTAGAAAGTTCAGTGTCATTTTTATATCTGACCAAGTTGAATGATTTTATGTGGTTTGCAAACCTGATCTTTGTATTATGGTAGCTTTGTAAACAATATTTTTAATTAGACATTGGTTTTCTAAAGGACATGTAGCTCTGTCTATACAGTTGCATTTTCTAACATTTTTGGTATTTTGGTTGCGCAAAATGTGTTGGTTGTGAGACTTCATAATAGTACTAATATTTGGCATGCAGCTGTAGCTTATTTTGATGGTGTTTCTGTTGAAAATCTTGTGTAGCCTTGGTGTGCTGGGAAATGTAAGTCGATTAAGTTCAAGAAAAGGTTTCCTAATTTGGTGACAACATACTTACTAAAATGGGGGATTAAACCATATGATGTTTCGATTGCGTTTATTAGTATGACGATTAGTTTTTTGTAAATTTAAATTAGGACGATATTGGATATTGCTGCTATGTCCAGACTTTATAAGGGCTTCTTTGTAAATAGAAGAAGAGTTTTTGAAAATTATTTTGATGATAATCTTTAAAGATGGAGGAGTTTGATGATAATCTTTGAAGTTTCTCATTAATAGAAGGATAAAAGTCAACAATATCAAAAATGAGGAATTTATAAAAATGTTTGTCATTGATATTCTTGAACCATTTAATTACCTCCTGTGTGTTACTCCACTGGTGCATAAAATATTTCTTAGCTGGTTGTTTATTTCGGATAAAATATGTTTACTTATTCTTCCTATTTTGTTCTTTGCTGGGTTAATGAGATGAACCATAGGATTATTTAAAAAAATTAGGTTTTTGATCTTTCAATGTGATGAAACAGTTTGATGATCCATTAATATGAATTTTGTTGAAAACATTGTGATTTTTTAGAATAATTTTTCCTTCTTTATTAATCTGATCTTTTATTATTGGATTGGTTTTTTTATAATTAGTTGTGGCAGCGTTTATCATCAATTTATTGTATTCAGTTTTAGGCAGCTTGTATAAGTTTGACATCTTATCTGCATATGCATAGATAAATTTTAAATAAATTGTTTTCAAATGCACACATATCTTAAATCTGTTGAGGGCCATGCGGTGTGTTAATGCCATAAAATATAAAATTTTCATTAATATTATTATTATTATCATTAGTATTGCACATACCATTAGGTTGTTTGTTCATGTAGAAAAAAGCTTTCCATCTCATTCTTTTAATCAATATTTCGGTTTTTTCTAGTAATCGCAACTTGTATTCTTTATTGGATGGTATAGGTATGTTTTTAGTTGAATATTTCAAGGTTATTTTCTCCATTTTAAATGACTTAAGAAGAGTGCTCAACTGAAGGAGCAAATATATTATTATTGAGTTGTGTTGTATTCTGTTTGATTTAATACAACTCTTTGTTGTATTAATTCATATTATATATATATATATATATATATATATATATATATATATATATATATATATATATATATATATATATATATATATATATATATATATATATCAGGCCTTCTTGTAAGAGGCGTGCGATCGGAGGCTTTATATGACCACGCATATAGTTCTTTGTTTTAACAACTTGACCACGGCTCTTTGCAAGTTTCGATAATTAGCGCGTTAAAAAAATGCGCTTAAAGAAAACAAAGCAAATATAAATACAATTTTTAATTTAATTGATTCCATAATTACAATTAAACTGTTACAAAATTTCATGAGTACTTTAATGCAACTTAATAAAAGCAATCGTTGAAAAAAATATTCAGATTAGAGTTTAAATGAATACAGAAGCTATCAAAAAATAATTACAAACCTTTTTATCATGGAACTATAGTTTCTAATAAAGATCGGACGCTTTTCTTACACATTTGCAAAGCGCGCGCAAATTAATCATAAACGCACAATAAAAAAAACTTTTAAAAGTGTTTTTAATATGCAAACAAACATTATTTCAGTTTATGGAAAATAAGAAAATTAAAAAAAAAAGCATGCACAATTTTATTTGTAATGAAATCATTTGCTTTACACTTTTGATGTAATTGCTAAAAGCAGAAAAGAAACCAAGCTTAAACATTACGAAACATTACTTTTTTTTATTTTACTTAAAAGTGACGCAATTGAAAAAAGTAATTATATTAAGGCATTTTTTAAAAAAAGTCTCTGCAATTAATTTTTTTTCATTTTAAATATGTGTTTTTTGTAATAAATAAAAAACTATTGATCGCAAAATTATTTTGAAAAAATTGCTGAAGTAACGCGTTTGTTTTGAAAAATCTTAATCAAACGGCAACGTTTGCATAAGCAAAATTAAAGAAAAGTGATGTTTGTTTTTCTGTCTGTCTTAAACTTTTTAATGAAATTTTAAATTTACACTACAAAATTTTATTAAATTTCATTACCCTTTCTCTCACTATGGTTCCGCCCTTGTATTAGCCTATTTATTCATGGGAAGGAATGATAAAGATTATTAGAGCTGTGATTTTTTCACTTTTGCTTCCAATTAAGTTTAAATTAATTAATACGTGTTTTGATTTTTTTTCTGGTTTTTCCTTTATTTTATCATTCTTTAAATTTTACTTTTTTAGGTTAATTTTTGTTATATATATTATTTTAAGGATTTTATTTTCTTTTCAGTTTATGGATTGTTTATTTTAATTTGCTTTGTTTTTTTTTAGCGTAATTTTTAAATGCGCTAATTATCAAAACTTGCAATGAGCCGTGGTCAAGTTGTTAAAACAAAGAACTATATGCGTGGTCATATAAGGCGCGCGATTGCACGCCTCTTACGAGAAGGCCTGATATATATATATATATATATACACACACACACACACTTACTAAAGCGTGTTTTGATAAGCATTTGCTCACTTTTTCTGCTACCTTAAGCTATACTGTTTTTTTTCGAAAAAGAAGAAAAAACGAAGAACGATGAATAAAACGATTGCTTCCCCATCCCAAACCCTCAGTTGATGTAGCAGCACTCCACTGCGAGTCAGGCTATTTGTCAGTCGATTTATGTACTGAAGCCCCCAGCAGCAGGCTATTTCAGTATGACGTCAGATTGCTTACCTTAATACGCAATGCTGTTTGTATATATATATATATATATATATATATATATATATATATATATATATATATATATATATATATATATATATATATATATATATGTATGTATATGAATAACATAAGTTATGTTGACCTGTTTCCTTGAAGTTTTTTACTGAATTTTAAGAAAGAACCTGTTATTATTTGTTAGGTCGCCATGACTGTGTCAGTATAATCAACAATTTTGTTCAGCTAGAAGATATTGAGTATTACACTCGCAAACAAGGTTTTGAAGAAATGTTTTTTTAATTTATTAAATGATAAAGTATTGATTTAAATGATTAAATTTTATAAACTTTTAGTTGAAGTTAAAATTTATCAAGTTTACAAATATTTACCTTTCTTTTAATTTAGATCAATTTAATCAAATAGAAAACTTTGTCTTAGTATAGTAATAAGTATTGTTTTATTAGACAATGCACACGAGTTACTATTTCCTTCTTACAAATAATTTATACATTTGTTTAGTTGTTTAAATTGTTTAAAGACTTTTTTCTTATTTGTTTTTTTACTGTCTATTGTTGATTTTTTTTCTGCTGATGCTGGAGTTATTCTATTCTAAAAGACAATAGTAAAGTGGTAGTAAATAAAGTTTTCGGCTAAAAATGTTCTGTTATTTTCAAATTATTGAAAAGAAGTATGCACACAGTGTGCAATGTGAAGTTGTTTTAAAATCTTTCATAACTTTCTATAAAGTTTAAATAACTTATAAGCTTAAGTTTCAACAGAAATATGAAAAGTCTGTAACTGTGCAGTCCTGTAACTGTTCTGTCCTGCAACTGTTCTGTCCTGCAACTGTCCTATCCTGTAACTGTGCAGTCCTGTAACTGTCCTGTCCTGCAATTGTCCTGTCCTGCAACTGTCCTGTCCTGCAACTGTCCTGTCCTGCAACTGTACAGTCCAGCAACTAGATTTTTGAAACTTTATTCTTTAGAAACATAAAACTCAGATAAAACTCAATTTTTTTCAGCCAATCGTTATTGCAATAATTTAGATCTTCCTATATTTATGAATGGTAATGTACTTAATGAGTCATCTACCCTTCATCTTCTAGGATAAACTCTTACTTTCGATCTTTCTTAGAAACCATATATCAAATCCGTTGCAAAATTAGCATCTGCTAAGGTTGCATCTCTTTATCGAGCTAGACACTTTCTTACTCCAGATTTGAGTTGTCTGTCAATCTTTATCTTGCTCTACAATCTTCATCTTTTCTCCTCCAGTAACTTCCAACTCTAATTAATGGTTGCTTGCAGACTTGTTGGAAGCGATGATGTTAAAAAGTAAATAAAAATAATAACTCAGTTTTATTAAAAGAAGTTGTAACATACAAATGTGTATTACAGGAAAGCATACCATTTGCACCATTACCACTTAAATGCACTGAATACATTTTTTTAGAGTTTTTGATTTTTTAAATTTTAACTTTCCTGTTTCCCTGAATTTAGTTCATAATTATATGTGACTCATGTATAATATAGGTTTGGATGAGTTCATACTTAAGGAACATCTTGTAAAGCCACTTCATAAATATGTAATAACTCCAAATTTAAACCCAGTTAAGGTAATTTCAATATAATGGTTTTACATTTTATTTTTAGTTTATTAAATTTTGAAAGTTGTTTTATCAATATAATAAAAGGATATTTTTAAATTTAAAATTGTTTTACATATAAAGTTTTTTTCTTTTTAGTTAGTGCTATATGTAAAGGAAAACACAGTTTTATTGGCAGATTATACATCAGTTGATAAAGTTCTGACAATGTTTTGTCAAAAATCATTCAAAAATGTTAACGAAGTTCTTGCAATAAAAACTCATATTTTGAACTTTTTCTTCAAAAAATGTTACCTCTGGGATCAAGGAACAGAAGGAAAAAATGGAATTAATGGCTTGCTAAAATAGTATATAAATCATTCAATTTATGTTTTCATAAATTAGTAACTTTTATAAATAATTTTTATTTTTCGGAATTGAGATTAATAGATATTATTTAAATTTAAATTAAATCATATGCTAATTTTTAAGAATAAGTTAATAATAATTATTAAGAAGCAGTAGTAAAAATAAATTAATATAAATAACTTTTGTAAATAAGCCTTCACATAAAGCATTTAATACTTAATTTACCTAAATATTTAATGTTTTTTGGTATCCTACACAAAATAATATTTCTGTTAAGCTTAGTTAAAGGTAGAAGCAGTGATGGGTTCGCTATTGGAACAGAAACATTATTACGTGATTCATTGAAGTCTTTTCCCTATGCGTCTTCTAATGTTTTTCAACAGCTTATCAAAACATTGTCTTCTGTGCCTATGGTTAGTGAAAATATTTTATATCTATATGTGTGTGTGTTTGTGTGTGTATTATATATATGTATATATATGTATATATATATATATATATATATATATATATATATATATATATATATATATATATATATATATATATATATTTAATATATATATATTTAATATATATATATATATATATATATATATATATATATATATATATATATATATATATATATATATATATAATATGTATATATATGTATATATATATACATTTTATATATATATATATATATGCATACTATTTTCTTAGAGAACAGTTATAACAGAAATATTTTTATTATGTTTTAGGCTGCCTGAATGTTCAAGTATATATATTTTTATCATTGTGTGTGTGTGTTAATGTCTTAAAAGTTTGAGAAAAATACAATAATATTCAAAATGCTATATTCTAACTAAAAATATTCGATGACTACTATTTCTCATCGAATATATATTAAATATGAGTTGTAGAGATATAATATTTTACTTAAAAAACTCATAAATAATTTATTTTCATAAAAATGACTACATGAAATAAAGTTATTTTTATGAAAATAAATTATATATATATATATATATATATATATATATATATATATATATATATATATAATATACTAATGTATATAATATTTATTTTAATAGTATACATTAGTATATTTATGCTTATAAATATACTAATGTATACCATTTTTTGTTTACAAATTGTTTATATAGATTAGAATTACATGAGAGTAAACTAGAGATCGCTAGTTTAATTTTTATAAAAATAGTAGATAAATTTTATACAAATTTTTGTGCATGATTTTTTTGAAATGCTATATACATGTTCTTAAAACAACAGAGCAATAATAAATTAGTAGAAAATCACTTGTCAAACTTTTTTTATTTTATGCTGTATTTCATTAACTAAGACTCATCAAAAATGAATGTTCAAATTAATAAAACTTCAAATTATACCAATAATTAAATTACAGGAAATCATAAATGTCAACAGTTTCGGAATGTAACATGTAAACATAACATGTAACATAACATAACTTGTTTGTCAATGTTTATACAGGTTTATACAAGGTTTTTATACAAGGTTTATACATTTATACAGTTATGAAGTTATACAGTTGAAAGAGGGTTGTAACATGTAATGAGCTGATATAACTTTTTGATCATATTATCTATTGGTACTTATAACCTATACTCATTAATACTATCTAATTTTTGTACATCATTTTGATTAAAGAAGTAAGCTAAGCTAGTTTTTATAAACATTTTTAGTTTTTTGTCTTATTTAAAGTTTATATATCAATATTCCACTACAAAAAATAATAGATGTTTGCATTATAAATATTCCACTACAAAAAATAATAGATGTTGTTTGCATTATAAGTATTCCACTACAAAAAATAATAGATGTTTGCATTATAAATATTCCACTACAAAAAATAATAGATGTTGTTTGCATTATAAATATTCCACTACAAAAAATAATAGATGTTGTTTGCATTATAAATATCTCACTACAAAAAATAATGTTGTTTGCATTAATATAAAAACTAATCTTAAACTTAGTAAAATTGATTTTAAAAAACTTTAGCAACATCTCAAACTCATTTTTAACTGAACAGAAAAACCAGATCAATGGTGTTGCTATAGGTTTTCCTTAGCAACTGTTCTTGTAAATGCAAATTTTTTAGGATCAAATTATATAATAGTAAAACCAGCTTTTTATAGTAAATGACATTTTTGCTGTTTCCCATAGGAAAATCTGGTCAGTTTTGTTTTAGACTATATCAATAATAAATGTAGTTCATTTTCATACAAATTCTCAGTTTAATTGATAGAGCTTATAAAATAAACAACTCTAATATTGGTTTATAGTTTATAAATAATACTAATATTGGTCTATAGTTTATAAAATAAACAACATATTGGTATATTACCAATGGTATTAATGATCTCGAATTATATTAGTATATATGGTATTAATGATCTCGAATAAAGTTTTAAACTTGAAAGTTCTCGAATCCTACTTGTATCCATCTGGATTGATTGAGAAAATCCAGATGGATACAAGTAGTTTAAAAAAATAAATGATTTAATTCAAAAATAATTTAACGAAAATATATAATTTTTATTCTGATAAAAAAAAATTAATTTAATTTAGATTTAAAAAATATAATTAAATTTTGATTTTAAAAATATATTTAAGTTTATTTAAATTCAAGTCAATGCTTGGATTTAACTTAGCTGTCATATTTTTTTTTTTTTTAATATTACTAAATATTTGAATTTAATTTGTCCTTAAAAGAAAATTAGCTCATTTTTAATTTTTTTTTTTTTTTGCAATTGTTTTTTCAGTTTTCATTCCAAAACATTTTTTTATTACTCAAAATTAAATTTTAAATAAATGGCTGCATCAAATATTTGCACAAAATGTAAGTTAAACTTTTTTTTTTTATATATGGCAAGTTAAATCGCAGCTATTATTTTTTAATAAATGTTTGGCAAAATAATCTAAAACACAACAAAATCATTTATAAAACAATAAACTTTTAATAAATAAAAGTAGATAACTTATCGTAATTTTTTTTATGTTACTCTCTAATTTTTTTAAAATAAAAAATCTTTTTTGGTTGCAATTTTTTTTAATGATTGAAAAAAATGTGCAAATAAACTTTTTTTAATGATTAAAAAGTATGTTAATTTTTTTTTTTTTAATTAACATATTTTAATTCATTTATACAAATGTTGAGGAAAATAATTTTTTACATGAAAATTTTTTTTATTTTATACCAAATTTAATTATTTAATATTAAAAAAAAAATGAAAGAAATAAACATTTTGTATTAATAAAAAACGAGTTAAACAATATTTAACTTGTTTATCAATATTTAACATTGTGGCTATAATGACCGACAGCTAGTGTTATGGAAAAAGTTGGAAGGTTGCAAATCAACAATTATGTTTTGCCCACGCCATACAACTTGCTGGAATTGATGTTCTTTATAAAAAAAGAGAATTCAATGCAAATCACCCAAAATTTAAAAATAAATTTTTTGACTGTGGTTTAACCGAGAAGGAAGATATTGAGGAAGATTTACAGGCTACCATCATGAAACTTTAAGATCTATAATTGAACTAAATGAAGTTCATTATGGAGCAATCATTAAAACAGTATGCAAGTGGATAATAATATTTTGACGATCACCTACTAAGAACGACACCTTACAAAAATATATTAAGGCTGAATTTGGAAAACAACTGTCTTTAAATATGGATTGCAAAACAAGGTGGAGCAGCCTTCTGTTAATGCTTAAACGATTTTATAAAGGAAAAAATTGTATACCAAAATCATTAATTGATATTTACTCAGTGCAAGATAATTCTTTAGCTCTGACGCATGATGATTTGACAATATTATCAGACATATAAAACTTTAGTTCCTATTAAAGCAACGGTTGAAGCACTTTCTCGCCAAGATTCTAACTTATTTACAGCTGACATAAACACCTAACCTATTTACAGCTGATGTTGCTATTAATTTTATGCTTACAAAATTAAAAGATGCTGACAATAACACAACATGGTTTACAGGAGCAATTTATGGTTATCATTGTTACTAAAATAAAAAACACAATGTCATTTATAAAAAATTAATTGAATAATATACTGTAATGAAAAAAAAATTCAAATTCGAAAAGAGCGCCATTTTAAATGAGGAGCAGCTCGCACAGCTCCTCAAGTTCGTTTTAGGAGAGCTTTTCTCCGCTCTTGTGTTCATTTATTTCCGCTGAGGCCTGCATGAACACCGAATTGATATAAGTATACTTCTGCATAACGGTCAAAGCTCAATTGAAGTCGATGAAGAAATAATTACAGTGCCTACTTTATTTAAATGTAGAAAACTATTGGTTGAATAGCTGGAAAGATTAAACGTCTGCTTTAATAAGAGCGTCAGTTGAGTCTGATATGCCAAATTTTATTGAAGAACCTGAAACTGAAAATAACACTTTAAGTATTGAAGAGGAGCTTGAGTGTAGTTAAAAAAACGTAATCACTGATGTAACCAGTTAGACATGAAACATTGTTATAAAAAATTCAAAAAGAAATGACATTATTTGAAAATGGTGGTACACGTGGTGATTATTTAGAAAGAGTTTATTCATTTCTAATAAAGGTGAAATCGACAAGTGTCAAGGCTCCGTAGGCATTTCCTTCCGCTGGACTGTTTAATAAAAAAATTCGTAACAGGTTGGGCGATGAAACATTTGTGTTGTGCTTCCTGAAGTCATATTTCAAAGTACATGAAACATGATATATTTCCTTATTTATAATCAAATTTCTTAACATTAATTAACATGTTTTTTTTCTATGCATGTTACGATGTAATGTAAACAGCATCACTTATAAAATATATTTTTGTTCAAGAGTATACTTTATTTATTCTACTTAATACTGTATAGATGCTATATCTGTTTTTCAATCCCGGGATCAATTCCGGGATCCCGGGATTGAGAAAGACTTCCGTGATTGCAAACCCTAATAGCAATAAAAATATACTTTTCAAGTTAAAAGTATGAGCGTTGAAAGAATAAAACAAGTTAACCGGAATAGTATACATATTGATTTCAAACATCAGGGGCTTTTAATTGTAAAGTAATTTACTTGAATTTCAAAAAAAAAAATTTTTGAAGTTCAAGCAAATTACTTTAAAATTAAAAGTGTGCTGAGCTAGAAAACATGCTTCTTTTCTTCTAACAAAATGTTTCAGCTTTTCTCTGATGAAGCTGGAGTGATGCATTCAAAACATTTTTTTTTTGTTACATACTGTTAGCAGCAGCAGAATCAAAAAAATTATTGAGTTTTTTTACTTTGTTGGGATACAGAATGAGCAAGCATCCTATATAGGGGGGGGGGGCATGTATTTCAGGCACCCCTTATAGTAAGTTTGTCAAAAACGTTTTATGCAAAACATCTTTTGAAAACCATACTATAATTCTGAACCCAACATTATAGTTGATTGCATTAAAAACCATATCCTAGCCAAAACCCTGGGCCAAACCCTGAGTCTAACTCTAAAGGTCAAAGTTAGGGTTTGGTTAGTGTATGGCTTTCAACAATATTCATTTTTTATTTATACATATACAATTGTATATGTATGTAACAAAAAGGCATAAGTCTTATAAAACTTTTGTACGGACCTACTAAAAGGTGGTGCCTGAAATTTACGGCCACCCTATTTAGAATATCTATATTACAAGGTACACCTAATGAACTAAAACAAAATAATTGAAATAGATTAAAACAAACTTGTGTCGTTATCAAAAAAAACTATAAATAAAAAAAATGTTTTATTAAATATAGATATGTATACATTAGGATGCATCACTTGGTACCATCATTTATAAAAATTATTTTTCAAAACGCATACTCATATTCTTATGTAAAATTAGATTTTAATTTGAGTTTCCTTTTAGTGTTTTTTAATTTAAAATTGTTTTGGTAGTACAATTGGCACTTTTAGGTATGCAATATGTATTATTAATTATAACATTTAAAATTTTTTGAGAAAAGTGTAAACTATAAATTATTTTATATTCATGCTTATTGCAAATAGCGTTGTTTTGTCAGAAACTGATTAAACTTTCTTAATAATTAAAACCCAGGAACACCCTCCCCTCCCTAACCTCCTCGCTCACCTCTGAACAAATGAATTTATGTCATTGTCCCTAATGTAGGGAAATTGTTTTTTAACCAAAAAATTACTTGACCTCATATTTTTAAATTTGCTAAAAAATTTATAACTATTTAAAAAAATATTTTTTGTAAAATATTTTATTAAAAATATACTTCTCTTATATATATTAACTTAATATATGTTTTACAGGTTTAAGTTTTGAATAAAAAATTAATAAAATACAAAATAAACAATTTTCTTTTATTTCTTAGTTACATTATTTCAAAAACAAATTTTTTTGATTTAAAGGTGGGAAGTTCTTCCCTATGTATCATTCTTGTTCTAACAAATCCATTTCTTCTTTCTTGGCCATAAACAATGGCAGATGCTTCTGTCACGCTTTTGGCACAGCGTTATGTTGCTTGAGTGTGAATGCTGAATTTAGGAATTTTCAATGGATTTTCAAAGGACTTGAAGATCTCTGCTCTAGAAAGATTACGTGTAAATATTGGTTCATAACACTTTTTAAATTCCAAGAAATTAATTCTTGAAGATTAGTAGTGTCAAGGTTAATCTTTGGAGATATTCTTTTTCAAACAGTCTCCAAGCTCATTATTTACTCCAATTTGTAAAATCATTTCAACACCAAACTTTCTTTTAATTTCATTAGAGCTAGTCAAGAGTGAAACCAAAATACACTCACTATGGCTGTACCAAGCCCCAGTTCATATATATGGTGTGATATAGGTTTAGTTATTTTTTCATCAATAATTTTTATAAAGGGAATATTAGGGATGTGACTTTTTGGTAAATTTTTGGTATCTCCAGTTTCCAATATAAAAAACAGATGAATTTTGGTTTGAAAGTAACTGAAAAGTCATTGGTTTTATTTGATTTTTGAAAAAGGTCTCCCACCACGACCCTTGATTACACACTGGCTTCCATATATCATTGAATTTTTTTTTCTTTAAAAGTATCAACCTGGGTCTCAAAAGAACTAGAATTTTATAGTGATTTTAAAATTCATAAATTTTAAAATCACTATAAAATAATAAAATTCATTTCTATAAAATAATAAAATTCATTTCTAACTGAAACAAAAAAAAAATATTGCAAACAAAACGTCATAAAAGATTACCTTTTAAATTTTTAGTTAAAATTTTGTGTATAAAATTTAAGCAACTCATTATTTCTGAAATCTCTATGAAATTCTGGTTCTTTTGAGACCCAAGTTGATATACTTTTAAAGAAGAAAAATTTCACTGATATATGGGTGAACGATGCCAGTGTGTAATCAAGGGTCATGGTGGGTGACCTTTTTCAAAAATTAAATAAAACCAATGACTTTTTAGTTGCTTTCAAACCAAAGCTCATCTGTTTTTTTTTGGAAACTGGAGTTACCAAAAAGTCACATCCTTAGCAAATATATATATATATATATATATATATATATATATATATATATATATATATATATATATATATATATATATATATATATATATATATATATATATATATATATATATATATATATATATATATATATATATATATATATATATATATATATATATAACCTTTAAAAGAATTTAAATTACTGATCTTTTCGTTGATACCTCTGACAAAACAAACTCTTTATCTTTGCCAACAAAATTAGACAATTTAATAGCTAAATTATGTTTAGCTTTCACGTTTGATGTATAACCAGTCATTGTTAGTACTTTTATTAAAAATAAAAAATACACATTATTAAAAAGTATTTGTGATTAGATTCTTTTTTATAAAAAAAGTTTCTAGAATAAAATTTGAAGTCTTGGATATAACTGAATAAAATTCTGCTTCTTTCGTTTCTTCGTTTTGAATATATCTTTCCTTAACACTGAGTGTGAATAATATGAATTAGTTATAAAAACAAACTTTATGATATTTTTAATAACTGGTATTAATTTTACAATGTAAGTATTACTCACCTTAAGAATTATACAGTTGTTACAACATATTCTCAAAAAACTGGTAATTTTTTACAATAAACCATAAAATGTGCTACTAAAAGTCTCAATTGTACTACCAAAACATTTTCAAATTAAAAAACAAAAAAAAAGCTCAAGTTAAAATTTAATTTTACATAGGAATGCAAGTACGCCGTATTATTTTAATTAAGATGATTTTAGCAATGTACCCTAGTATACATATCTATATATATACATGTTGAAATACGATATTATTTCTATTCTGTAATCTTTTCAAAATTTCATAACATTTTAGATTAACACAGTTACATAGTATTTTAATACCATGTATCCTGTTACATGATATTTTAATCTTAAATATTGTGCAAACTCTTTTTTTTTATTTTTTTATTTTTTTCTGTGAACATAATTTTGTTTACATCATCCGATGTATTTTTTTTTTAAGATAAAAATTAGTCATGTGACACTTTTATTATCATTGGTTTAGTTATAAATAACTTGGACAACTATATTTTTTACTTGATAAACATCAGACAACAGTGGTTGTCAAAACAGTGGTTGTTTCAAAGTTGCTCTTGATTTTAAATTACCATAGAACCTTAAAACATAGTTTTTTGTTATGAATTTTTGAATTAAAATAGCTTAGTACTAAAATATCATAAAATTACCTAGAACTTAAGAATTTCAAATAGTGGAGATCAGTGGTTTTACCCGTGTAGTCTTCATATAAGAATAGTGCTTTTTTATTAAGATTTTTTTAGATATTAGCAATCTGTTGTTTTTATTTTTAAATATTTTTTACTAAACTTTTGGTTTAGGGAGGAAGTCCAAGTGCAATTGCTGCAATTACTCAGTCGATAAATGGACTTCAGAGGTTATTATAAATTTTAAACAGTTATATGTGATGAAATTTATCAGAATATTAAACTTACACACTTGACTTTTTTTTTTCTAAATTAATAAGTGCTGATTTCCCTGAATGCTGTTTTTTTTTAAATTAATTAGTGCTGATTTCACTGAATGCTGTTCTTGCTGTGGAAATCGGCGATCGTTCAACAAATGTAGCAGTTGTAAAATGGTATGGCAATGCATACATTATTCTATATATGTGTTTACCATCCATACATTATTCTATATATGTGTTTACCATCCATACATTATTCTATATATGTGTTTACCATCCATACATTATTCTATATATGTGTTTACCATCCATACATTATTCTATATATGTGTTTACCACCCATACATTATTCTATATATGTGTTTACCATCCATACATTATTCTATATATGTGTTTACCATCCATACATTAAAAAACATTCATAAAATTCATAGTGGTCATCCATACATTAAAAAATATTCATAAAATTCATAGTGGTCATCCATACATTAAAAAAGGTGTCTTTGAGTATTTAAATCTTTGTACCAAACTTTTCTTTTTTTAATTTTAGACTGATTAAAATTAGACTGATAATGTAAAAATAAATATGGGCGTAAAAAAAAACCATTTGTTGCACCTTGAAAGCTTCATTTTTAGGGCAATACCTTTAAAAATTCATAATTTATATATGATTGAATAGCAAATTTTTTACCGATTAAAAAAGAACTTAACAACAATTTTCACAGCTATAAAAAGTTTGATTAGTCGTTTTGGTTGTGAAAAGTTTCATTATAATTTTTGTTTTTAAAATGACTTTCTCAGATTTTTTATGTCCTTTAAAAATTCAAATGTTGAATAGTTAAAAAGTGTCTTGGAAACATTCTATTGTAAAAAAAAATGTCTGAAAACATTCTATTATGAAGATAAATATGAATGAACTTAATTTAATTAAATATTCAAATTTATAAAGAAGGTTTTTAGTGTAACTTATTAAAACTTAAGTTTCATGTTACATGTGATTTCCACAGTAAATTTTATATATGTGCATGTTATTTTTCAGAGAACTCTCTGATCAATCTGATTTGTTAAGTTGATTTTCAGAGATTTTATTTGATATTGAAACTTCAGAAAGATAATACTATTACTATGTGTACACTGATATCAAAAAAAAAAAAAAAATTAGAAAAATGAGTGTCAATAAATATGTTTAACAGGTTACTAAAAGTCAAAAAAGATTTTCAAGAGAATATGACTTCATTATTTTTAAGCTAGAGATTAAATAAAGACATCATTAGTTATAGTTTTTAGTTCTTTATTATTAATAACGTAAAGGTCTTGGATTGGCCGACATTCTGTCACAGCTGGCGCTTTGTCTCTGTCACAGCTGGAGTTTTTTCTGTGACTGGAGTAGATGGTGTTTCTGTTAATGGTCAAGTGATACAGCATGAAGTAAGGCTCACCATCAAAAATGACTGATTTTCCATGAAAATTGTGACAATGAGGATCAATGCTGGTATTGATTTACTCTCGTTTTGGCTCTCTTGTCAATCAGTAGCAAGAGTTTTAATGATTTACAAATGAGTTCATCAATTGACCATTTGTTTATTTTTAGTCATTACAATTGTTTTGTTTTTTTAAGGTTTGAAATTGAAAAAAATGAATCAAGTGATAAAATCGAAAATGAGAGAAACTTGTTTAAAGATTTATTTTGCGTAAAAAAAAGATTACTTACTGTTGAAACTTGTTGTTTTTTTGTTTATTTTTCCAGGCTTAATTAAAAGTTATTTTATAGGCATAAAATTAAAATATTTTTAAACTTTTTTTTTCCTACTTAAATACTATTCCACACAATTTTAAGATCACCTAATTTATAATTGGTCAGATTTAAAAAAGGTTTGTTCATGAAATTTACTATTACATTCCCCCTCCTCCTCCCCCCTCCCTCCCCGCCTCTTCCTCCTCCAAATTTCCAGCTTTGTGTCGAAAATCTAATCTATACTAATTTTATCTTGTTTGCTTTAATTAGCTTTTTTTTTTTTTTTTTTTTTTTTTTTAGGTTAAGTATTGCAACCAATCTTGTCAAAAGCTTCATTGGGGAACTCATAAAAAATTCTGTGAACGTCTCAAAGAAGAATTTCTCCTTCTTCAACAACAAAAAGTCATAGATAAAGAACGTGAAGAAAATCGTGTAAATAAAGAACTTCAAACTCAAGAAAATGTTGAAACCTGATTTGTTTGAAAATATTGAAATTTTTATTTATTGATTATATTTTTGAGTTTTAAAATTATTTTGTATAATACTTGCTAATTTTTTTTTTAACATATATTTCTTTTTTTATGTGTAATGATTTATTATTTATGCCGATAATTTATTTTTCTGTAATCTTTGTTCAATGTTATTGTGATATTATTTGTTACGTGTATGATTTGTTACTTTATTCATCATTTTTATTTAAAATATTAAAAAATGATAGTTTTAATTCTTTTTTCTAAATTTTACTGTGTTAAAATTTTTTTTAAAGCAATTTATAATTTTGATATAATGAAGTGCAAGTAGAGAAAAGAACAGAGATGAACTGTCTGAATGAGTATGTATGAGTTAAGAAAAAATAGGTGTGAGATCTGTCTGAATAAAATCAAGTCTGAGTAAATAAAAAAAATGGAGAAGAGAGATCTCTCTGAATATAATGAAATGCATAAAAGTGTAGTATTTAAGTCTTTTAATCAATTTTTTGAATTTTAAAAATAAATTTATCCATAAAAATTAATAAAACCTTTAAAAATGAATTCATACATGGAGTGTAAAAGCTCTTAAAGAGTATAAAAATGCACAATGGTAATTATATGATTAATGATATGTGTGTATTTATATATATGTATATATATATATATATATATATATATATATATGTATATATATATATATATATATGTATATATATATATATATATATATATATATATATATATATATATATATATATATATGTGTGTGTGTGTGTGTATATATATATATATATATATATATATATATATATATATATATTTATATATATATATATATTTATATATGTGTATACATTTATATATGTGTATATATTATATTTATATTTTTTTGTCTTTCTTATAAAAAAAGAAAAAAAAATCAAAAAAAAAAAAAAAGTAAACAATAAAGTAGATATAAACAAGATAGTAACAAGGTTACTATTTTAATTTATATGTGTATTTACTTTATTTCATATGAAATAAGGATTTAGGAACCATAATGTACTATTAAGTATCATATAGGTGTATTGTTTGTTTTGTTTTTTTATCTTTGATGATGGTCTTTTTCTTTTTTTATAAAAAAGAATGTTTTTATAAAAATACGTTTCGTGTGTATACCCCTAATAAGAGTTGTTTAATTGAATGAATAAAAGATTTTTAGCAAAAGAAATTTTTTTTTACAAGATACATGTGTGATATTAAAGTTGTCCCCTTGGGTGCAGGGCAGGATGTTGGCAGAAGTTGTATAATTGTAACCCTTGGTGGAAAAAATATAATGTTGGATTGTGGCATGCATATGGGATATAATGATGAACGAAAGTTTCCTGATTTTACCTACATTGCAAAGACTGGACCTTACACCCCCCATATTGACTGTTTAATTATAAGTCATTTTCATTTGGGTTAGTTTTTTATTTTTTATATTGTAGAAACCTTTTCTTTTGCAGAATTTTTTTTTTTTTCTTTTAAAAAATTTTTAAACAGTGTTTGTGTAGATCACTGTGGTGCTCTACCTTATTTTACTGAAATGTGTGGATATGACGGACCTATTTATATGACTCATCCTACAAAAGCAATCTGCCCTATACTGTTGGAAGATTTTCGCAAGATACAAGTTGAACGAAAAGGTGATAGTGATTTTTTCACATCCCAGAACATAAAAGACTGCATGAAAAAAGTTATTCCTGTTAATCTACATCAGTGTGTTCAGGTTTTTATGTTGCTTTATTTGCTTATTCTGTCTAATTTTTGTCATATTTTTAATAATATTTTGATAATTATTTTTGATCATTTTGTGTTTATGTGCATTTTATTGATGGTATATGTATTTCATTAAGGATATAAATATTTTATTCTGAGTCTATGTATTTTGCATATGTATGTAATTCACTATGGGCCTAATGTAAAATAATGAAGAAAAATTTTTTAAAAAGAATAAAAATTTGGGATTGATTTGTTTTTAAATTTATTATAATTTTATTATTCTTTATGTTTTTTTTATCGGGCAATGTTATTAGTTGTATTATTATTATTATGTGCATTTTATTGGTGGTATATGTATTTCATTATGGGTATAAATATTTTATTATTTGAGTCTATGTATTTTGCATATGTATGTATTTCACTATGGGCCTAATGTAAAATAATGAAGAAAAATTTTTTTAGATAAAAAATTAGGAATGATTTGTTTTTGACTATATTATTATTATTTTATTATTCTTGTTGTTGTTGTTAGCAGGCAATGTTATTAGTTATATTATTATTATTATATATTAGGCAACATTTATTGCTATTATTATTATTGTTATATATTAGGCAACAATATTTATTATTATTAGCAGGTAATTTATTATATTATTAGCAGGTAATTTATTATATTATCAGATTTTATTAGCAGGCAGATCTTATTTGTTGTAGACATCTTATTTAAATCTTTTAAATTACTAAATGGTGTAGTCCTTTCCTTAAAATGCTAAGTTCTTATTTATATAGTTCTTTGACTTAAGTAATTAATGAAAACAAATAAGTTGGGGGTATTAAAACACTCATCCAAGATGAGTGTTTTAATAACCCCAACTTATTTGTTTTCACTCTTATTTTATTCGTAGACCTCAATGAGTTCAGACTTCTTTGACAAGAGTGGTCTAAAAATGTTAATGTAAATTAATGTTGATGTTTAATAATTTATTATATTAATGGTTAATCATTATTTATTAATATATGTTAAAATTTTTCAAACTCTTTGTTATTTAAAAAAAAATATATATATATTTATAGAAGTTACGTTAAACAGAAAATCATAAATAATTATTATGAATAGATGAAAATCATAAATAATTGTTCCCTTTAACTTTATCGTTTTTATATTATTTAAGAAAATGGAGTTAAATCTAAAAAGAACTTATCTTTTATTAAATTACAAAAATTACAAAGATCATTAACAACTTTTTTGACACTTCTTTATTATAATTTTACTAAAAATAAATGCTAGTGTAAGAAAAAGGTTTAATTATATTAAATTTTTCACTGTTTTTCAACAAGCATAGCATTTTTTTTTATCTAGAATGGAGGCTACATAAAAGAGTCAATTTTTCTTTAAAGGAATATTTTCTTTGCACTTTTTTACTCGTTTTTTGATAAACACTGAGTAATATAAAAGAGGCTATTTTTCTTGGTAGAATTGCACAAAATGCAATCTACCAAGAAAAATAGCCTCCACAAAATGTTTTAGTTATGTTTTTTGAACACTTCCTTAATAAAATGTTTTTAGTGTTTAAGAAGTTTCCTTATGTTTTATATTTAATTATTTTAAATGTTACTTAGATTTTAGACTCTGTCTGAATATTTGTTTAGGTAGACGATGAGTTAGAAATTAAGGCATATTACGCTGGTCATGTCCTCGGAGCAGCAATGTTTTATTGTCGTGTTGGAGAACAATCGTTTGTATATACAGGTATTGTTTTTTTTAATGTTTTTTTTAATTATAGTTGTGTATTTTTTTAAATCTACTTTAATTTTAAGGTGATTACAATATGACTCCAGATCGTCATCTTGGAGCTGCGTGGATAGACAAATGCAGACCAGATCTTTTGATAACTGAATCCACATATGCCACCACTATTCGTGATTCAAAGCGTTGTAGAGAAATGGACTTTTTAAAAAAAGTTCACGAGACTATTCTTAAAGGTGGAAAGGTGGGTTAATTTTATTTTGTTAAAAATGTTGTGTGTGCGTGTGTGTGTGTCTATATATATATATATATATATATATATATATATATATATATATATATATATATATATATATATATATATATATATATGTATATATATATATATATATATATATATATATATATATATATATATATATATATATATATATATATATATATATATATATATATATATATATATATATATATATATATACATACATACATAAGAAAAATAAATGATAAAATTAATTTAATATATTTATTATACAGCAAGGTATTTTGTTTGTTTGAGATCTTTATAATTGTTTCTGACTTTGATACCTCATTTTATTGATTCATTTATTACAATACAATTTCACTCAAACTTTCAATGTTTGTCAAATTTTTTTAAACTCTTTAACGTTTGTGAAAACTAGCCAAATCAAAAACAGGATTTTTTTTTTTTTTGTTTTTTATTAATTTGATATAAAATAAATGTATGTGTAGCGGTGGAAAAAAAAACCCGTGTATGTATGTGTAGCGGTGTAAAAAATTACAGAAACAAGCTAATTATTTATATCATTTTTGAATAGCAAGTTCTTAATTAACCATATTTCAAAACATGATGAAAAACAAGAACAATTTGTGTCTAAAACAATAATGAGTAATTAGGTTATGCAATTTTTACAACTAATAAAGTTTTTAAAGAATATTAACAAAAATACACATAACAATTAAAGTAACATAACATTAAAAACACCTTCACGTGAACAAAATATGTTAAATATTCACCTGTTTTTACCTTTAGTATTTTTTGAAATCAATAGATAAGAGTAAATAATAAGTGATAAATAATAAAGATAATAAACATATAATAAATATATAAGTATATATTTAAACATATAATAAATATATAAGTAGTGAAATAAATAAAATGATAGATAAAGATTTCGTGCTTTAAAAAGACTTTTTGGTTTAAGACTCTGTAAGACAGCTTTATTTATAAGATGTTAGTATATTTTATAATTTTTGCTTTTTTTCAATTGATAAAAATTAATAATTTTCGATTTAAATTTAGTTGAAGTTTTGCAACCGAATTTTATTGAAAGCCGAATTTCTATTTCAAATTCAGAGCCGAAGTTATCTTAAGTAAACCTCAAAATCCGAATTTTAACGAATATTCGTCAGTCCTTAAGATTTATTCCGATAATGAAACTATAAATTAAATAAGTTTACATCGTTAAGTAGTATTCATATCCAATATATTTCTCGGAAAAAGTTATTATTTTTTGTAATACTTTTACTTTTTTATTATTATTTATTATAAATCCATAAAGGTTTTTATTTAAAGGCAATAAGTTTTTCAAATTAATAATTACAAATTTATTACCGTGGTAATACTTTTATTACAGGTTCTTATCCCCGTGTTTGCTTTGGGCCGTGCTCAAGAGCTATGCATTCTTCTTGAAACATTTTGGGATCGAATGAATATTAAGGCTCCTATTTATTTTTCTATGGGACTTACTGAGAAAGCAAATCATTATTATAAACTTTTTATAACATGGACCAATCAAAAAATCAGAAATACGTTTGTGCAAAGGAATTTATTTGATTTTAAGCATATAAAGGCTTTTGATAGAAGTTATATAGATAATCCAGGCCCAATGGTAGTTTTTGCTACTCCTGGCATGCTACATGCTGGCCTCTCTCTACAAATTTTTAAAAAATGGGCTCCAGATGAAAATAATACTCTAATAATGCCCGGATATTGCGTCATTGGCACTGTGGGGCATAAAGTTTTATCAGGTCAAAAAAAAATTGAACTTGACAAGAAAACTACAGTAGATGTGAAACTATCGGTGCAATATTTATCGTTTAGCGCCCATGCAGATGCATCTGGAATAATGCAACTAATACGACAATGCGAGCCAAAGAATGTTATGCTTGTGCATGGCGAGGGGTCAAAGATGGAATTTCTAAAATCTCAGATAAACAAAGAATTCAATTTGGATTGCTATATGCCTGCTAACGGTCAATCTATCACAATCCCAATGCAACCAAAAGTTGTTATTGATATGTCAAAAGGTACGTTACAGTAATACATTAAACAAAATATACATTTAATTAAAAATATATGCATATTTTTTTTGTCTTTTTTATATTGTTATATAGTTTATTGGTTTATAATTTAGGAATGCTAAAACGCAAGCAAGCTAATGCTGAATCTCAGTCAAAACGTCACCGTTTAATAAAAGTTAATAATGAAGTTCTTGTAGATGGTTTGCTTGTAATGAAAAACATGGAAGCGAAATTAGTTGAATCTCATATGGCAGCCCATGAACTTAACTTAGACGATCATCAACTGAGATTTACATCGTCTGTTAAAATTGAGTCCAGTGAAACCTTAGACGAGTTTTTTTCTAACTTAAAGCTTGATCTTGAAGAATGTTTCACTACGAATTCTGTCCAAAAATTGTCAGCTCATTCGCTTGCTGTAGATTCAGTTTTGTTAAAATATCACAGTTCTGCCGCAATTGAGTCTAATAATAAAGACAGCTCTAGCGTGAAACATTTGCTGATATCATGGAAGTTTGAAGACGATGTCTTAGGTAGTCGCGTGTTAGATTTCTTAATGCCATCAACTGAAACAACAGAGTTTGATTAAAAAAACTCAATGCTTAGATTTAGCATAAAACTGAAAAAACTTGAAAAGCATGAATTTTATTCAAGATGGTACAAACTAATTGGTAATTTAAATAAAGCGTATTCGAACGTAAGGCTTACGTTTTTAAACGTATTTTGAACGTATTTTGAATGAATGGATTACAAATGAATAATTGTTTTCAGTCTTTTGACTGTAATAAATGAAACAGGTTTATTGGTTTTAGTAAACCTGAAAAGTATCAAAAGCTTTTTATACTGTTAATCGCTTTTTTCTTTTTTTCTGTTAATCGCTGCATTCTTACTAAGCAATTACATTAAAGTTACAATTTTTTATGTACTAATTTTCATAATTAACCTTCATCAATTTTTTGTTGAATAAAATCTAGGTAATTCTTATTGTTAAACATACAATTTTTTTTTGTGATTTACAATGGTTTATGCTTAGACCACTTCTATAATATCCAAATCTAATTTAACGATCATAAATTTTGCCGTGAGTTTGAAAAAAATCCACTCGTTTGTATTTCCTAATATTCTTAATATGATAATTAAAAAATCTCATTTAAAAAAAAAATGTGCTAAATTTTTATCGATATTTTTTAAAAATAAATAATTTATCTTGGAGACATTTTGCACCTTAACGTCTATTGCACAAAAATTTCAATAGTTATTTCCTCCGTGCTTTATTTTAAGTAGTTTTTTTTTTTCAAAAAAAATTGTTTTGGTAATTTTTATAAACTCAAAACTTATTTTCTATTGATTATTTACTAAATAAACATAACACGTCTCTGCACTTGGTACTCCTTTAAATAATTTTGAAAAATTTTTAATTGATATTTATAAATAGTGTATTTGCAAAATTAAGATAATAGTAATTACTATTTTTTTAGATTTTAAATTAAGATAATATTTAATTGCTTACGTCTCGTATTCATATAGTTATTGTCTATATAATATATATATATATATATATATATATATATATATATATATATATATATATATATATATATATATATATATATATATTGTCTATATAACATATATACAGACAACAACTATTCAAACTAAAGTAATAGTAATTACACTTATTAAACACTTACGTCTTGTATTTATACAGTTATTGTCTACAAAACATTAACGTTTAATAAGCGTATTAACAATTATTTTACATTTTGATTTAAATATAAGTAATTCTGTTCATTTAATTTTTGCTAAAGCATAATAATTTTTAAAAAAGTATATATATATATATATATATATATATATATATATATATTATATATATATATATATATATATATATATATATATATATATATATATATAATTATGTTAGAAGTGTATAGTTAAATCTGTCTCACCATTGAAAACTTATAACCTTTAGTTTTTGTTTTTTTGTTTAAATAAAAAGAAAAGGGTGGGAGGGTTAAATGCACCCCGCGTATTGAGCTTACTTTAAGCCAAAGAACTAAATGATACATTTAATAAAATCAGCAGTGTTTAGGTACAAAAAACATTAAATTACAAAAATAAGGCTTCAAAAAAAAGATTTTGCGACAAAGTTTAAATAATAAAAAGAATAAAAAATTTAGGTACTCAAGAAGTTATAATTCCACTGAAAAGCCGAATTCAGATTAGTTTTTGGGATAAATTATAAAAAATATTTTTCTTAAGATATAAATAATAGTAATAATAATAGTAATAATAATAAATACGCGTGGTTTAAGATTTAATTTTTCCAAGGCAACTAAGTACGCTCACGTGATTATCTTATCCTTCTCTTTCCTGTTTGTGAAAAAAACGACAGATGGGAAGTCACATTTAGGTTAAAGTTCTAGTTATAAAACTATGCCGTAAACTTATTTGCGTGAATACCACTGATCTCTATAATATTATAGAGATCAGTGGTGGATACCGCTAAAACCCTGGTAAAACTTTTTTTTTTCACCAAGATTTTTTTTTCAAAATTATGCAGCAAATATGAAGTTAATAATTTATTTTTCTAAAATTAAATTTTTATATATTATTTTTATAAATATATTACAAATCTGTTTTCTAATAGTGAACTTATCAAATTAAAAATTTTTTTTACACAAAATATACCATTTCCTAACAAATACGATAAAACATTTTTTTTCAAAAAATCACCTATTGTAGGGGATCTTCGCAAGAGGTCAATATGAGAACCAATTTCTGACTTTTTTTATATTATAAACTACCGCAACATAATGTTTATGGAAACTCATTATTTATAGTTTAATTAAACTATTTATAGTTTAAATAAATTAACGGTACTGTAAGATGGGGTAACAATAACCATATAATTGTAAAATTTTTGCTTTTCTTTAAGTTTTACCTAGTTTTCAATTAAAGATATTCCTGAAATCCTTACATAACACTTTTTTGTTTCCTGGGTTATCCGTATGATTTGTTTTATCGTAATTCTATTTATTAGAGGTTGGAACATCTTTGATAACTTCTATTATTGTCTGTGTTCTATCTATTATATCTGCATCACATACTCTGAATTTTTTTATAATAGAACTAACACGAATAGTTATTTTATAACACATAGAACTAACACGAATAGTATATTTTATAATAATTTTTTAAAACCCGTTGTCTGACATTTTTACTAAATGTTGTGAAAAATCAAACTCTCTCTTTTTTATATAAAGTTATTTTTGTGCCCCAACCACTGATCTATATAAATAACTTAATATTTCTAATATCGATTGAAGTCGAAAAACGTTTTTGTCGGTCATATTGAGAAAACCCTAAAAAAGTATTTATGTGTTGAAAACTTTAAGAAAAAATCCAATATTTTTATTTTAAGATAAAAGGCAAAAAAAAAAAAAAATAAGGTGAATAAAATGGATTGATAGAACCTAGCAACAAACAAAAAGCGGAAACATCAGTTAAAATCTGTTGTAAAATGTCAACTAATTCTGTAGATCATTTCTCTAGATTCTTATGTTGACGTTTAAAAAAGTATGATAACAAAGTAAAAGTTGAAAATACAGTATTCCTAAGAGTAATTTAGTAGTTTTTATATCATGTTTACTAAATTATAAAAACAGAAAAAAAATTTAAACAACATTTCATTTATTGTTGTTAATAATAAAAATATTATAAAACTTTCCAAAACTTAAATAGATACAGTTCTTAGATACTTGTAAAATGTGTTTTTCAATTCTTTTTTTAGAATTATTGTAACTTTTTCTTTCAGTTTTATTACATACAGCAATATCATCTAATATTGGTTTCATTTCAAGACCACCACTGTCTTTTACTTTAAAAAAATTGGATTTTGAAGCATATTTTTTAGAACCAGATGCATTACAACATATCGTAAAGAAACCTGCTTTTTAATCATTTTTAAAACGAAACCAGATAATCTTAGGGTTGCCAGATGTCCGGCTTTTACGAGAGGAGAACACTGTAAAAAAAATTTTTTTTACAGGTTTGGCGCTGTAAAAATATTTTTATTAATAATACCCCATATCATTTTAATGAATACTTAAAATGAAATTAACTTTAAATGTAAAATGAAAAAGCAAATGTTTAACTTTGATAATATTTCACACAATTTCTTTACGATTAACACGCAAGCATTTGAGCAATCTCAAGTTAATTGAAGAAGTCGAAGGTTTAGTTTTATTTTTTCCTTCGTTTTCATAAAACTTTGAATAAATCTAGTGCGGCCGTGGCGCAGTGGTTAGAGCGCTTGCTTAGGAGATCCAGGTTCGAAACGAGCTCTGGACATATTTTCGCGTCACGGTAAGGAAAGAGGCGCAAACTTCCTGATTAAATGCACTTCCGCGGTGCTCTGCGACAAGACCGTTTTTGGGGCACCTAAAATTAAAAAGAAAAAAAAAAAGTACTTTTTTGACTTGATATCCGGTTAGATAATTTTGTTATCCGGTTTCTGGCCGGATTTAAAAAAAAATGTTATCCGAAACATCCTTATACAAAACATACATTTTTAAAAAGTTCTTTTAAAAAACTTTTTTTGTTTAGTGTGTAATTTGCTAAAACTGCTTGCGGTAATTTTGTATCAAGTTGATTAGTCAACTGTGAACACAATTTTTTTTTTTTTTTTTTTTTTTTTTTTTTTATTCATATATTTGCCGTACATATAACATTTACAAGTTTCGTAAATTAATATTTACAAGTCTCGTGAGTCAAAATATATATAGTGAAATTTATAATTAAATAGTACAGGCCGGACTTCAAGAAGATCGTAATGATCTTATCACGAAGCCCTTACAATGTGTTTGATATATTATTATGATTATGTTAAATATAATTATATATTAAGTACAACTATGTTTATATATTCTTTAAATTTAGCTCATAATAAAAAATAAACTCAAAATAAGCTCAGTATAAAATATTAGACATAACTAGCAGCATAATAACTAAACTTGATAAGAAAAAATCAAGTGTTTTTTTTGTGTGTAATAAACACATTTTGATATATTGTTTGAGAAATTTGAGAAAAAAAAAAAGATTCATTTAGATAATACACATAAACGAGTCAGTTCACTTTGTAGTTGATATATATGTATTTTAATTTATAGTCTTAAAAGAATTCTGAGTATCTGTTTAGATTCAGTATCAGATTTTTTAACTTTTTTTTCAAGAAATTTTGATTGCAAATTGAATCTAGATTGCAGATTGATTTATTTTTAGTTACTAGTTTGTTGTATAAATAAGGACCCCGATATGAAATTGAGAACTGGGAAAGTTTTGTTTTTTTGAAAGGTGTAATAAAGTTTCCTTTTTCTCTTGTGTTATATTTATTAACGTTATTTATAAAAAAGTTATTTAAAAAATGGTTTGGTACTTGACCTAATTTAAATTTTAGCATAAACAATATATTTTGGTAAATATTAATTTGATAAATATTAAGCACATTCATTTCTTTAAATAAGGGTTCAGTGTGTGTAAATTTGTCTTTATGGTAGATAAGTCTAACAGCATGTTTCTGACGTCGATATAAAGTTTTCAATTTGGTTATATGCGTACTCGCCCAAGCTATATTCGCATATATGAGGTAGCTGTGTATAAAAGAGAAATATATAAGTTTTAAATTACTTTGCGACAGCATAGGTTTTGCTTTATAAAGTAGACCTATGTTTTTTGATATTTTAGTGTTTAAAGCATTTATGTGACTTTTCCAAGATAAATTTTCATCAATTATAACTCCTAAAAATTTAGTTTCGTGAGTTCTCTCAATTACTATATTTTCTATTT